ACCCAAACCAGTCTGGGATTCTATGAACAGGGAACTGGCTACAAACCACACTGCCAACCCCGTCAGCAAACTGCAGCCCCGCCAAAGGACACGGCCTCACACCGGCTGCCCTACAGACAGCTCTTCTTGGCAAACCCTTCTTTTCCCACACAAGAACAACAGTGCTGCTCCGAGCTGTTGTCAATGACATTTTGGGGGTCATGGCGTATACTGCCAAACTTGTTTGTAACAATCCAGCTTTGCCAAATAACCCCACCTGGGCTGGGACCTCCTCCACAGGCCCACGATGCTGTTCACTTCTGGAGAGGCTGAAAACAAGAGGTCTCTCCAAAGGAAGCTCCCAAAGAGCCAAACTCACATTAAGGTATCACACACCTTTTCCCAAGCCAATTGGGGAACTCCAGTTTTGCAGTCTGTGCACATTACCTACTGCAATTTCAAGTCTTTACCCCTAGAGATACTCACCTAGAACTAATATGGGACACTGAGGGCTGCAGCTTCGCTCCTTCTCAGCTCTGATGGGACACCAGGAGCCATCCACCAGGTACTCGATTTCATCTGCATCTTCACATTCTGTCAGGATCTTTGAGAGGAGCCTGGACAGGAGAAAAGGTGCCATTTAATAAGCTTGAGGCAATCAGAATGTATTTAGTGATGTGCCTTAAACTGGATCTCCACCTTCAACAGCCCTAAATTGAACAGAAATGTGGTGTTAGCAGAAGGCTGCCCAGCAGATGGACCTCAAGTCAAGGGCTTGATTTATTCCCATAAACCACCCCAGTCCTTTCTGACAATGAACCTGACCCAGGAACTAACAGTTTAATTACATGCCATCAGAAGATAGTTTTGCCTCTTCACCCAGTTTTCCAAGCAGTGGCACTGATTCCAGGCTTCTTGATGCCCCATCTAGAGCTGGTTGAGGGCTCGTGCAGGTACCTTCACACCGAGGCATTAGCAAAGACAAAATACTCTCCAACATTAGGAACTAAGCAGTCCAGTACTTCACTTCCTTCCTTTTGTCTTCCAAAGCCTCCACGGCAGCCACAAAAACAATATATGCAGCCTCCTGCAACAGCAAAAATCCCCATGTCCCCCACTGAAAACACACCCAGTGGAGACACCTCGATGACAAAGACACTAACACCAACAAAGAATGAGTGAGCCTCCAATCACTGTGCCTCCAAAACTGGGCCCTGGCTTCATTCTGACCTGTTCCACCCCCTGCCTGGGATGTTTCTTTGGACCTACTATTGGAACCACTGTTCTGCAAGGTCTTATTCACTTCTGGGCTTGAACATTTCCCTTTGGTATGAAGGAGAACTATAGCAAAAATCTTACAAGCTCCAGAGAACTATTTGCAGCACAGTGGTGGGAGAAAGTTGCTGCTTTCTCCCAGCTCAAGTAGGAAACATGTTTCCACAGATGGTCCTGTCATCACCCAGCTGAGCAACCACCAAGGCTGCAATTCCAAACAAGCTGACAAGACCCACAGAAGCTTAGACTCGACCAACCACTCACCTCCTCAGGAGCCTGTGCCCCTTTTTTGACTACCAATCTCCAGCTAAGACTGCCAGGTTCCCTCCAGCTTACTTTCAAGGGAGGTCTGAAGACTACCTTCATCCAACAGAACCACACTGAAGCCCAGCCTTGAGCACAAAGAAATCCACTGAGCCTTCACTAGTGACAACCTCCTCCTCACCCAGGAGGGACATGTGCATTGCTGACCTGTAGAGGTTCCACAATCCAGCCCCTCACACCTTCCCCTTCAGTCTCAGGAGCCTTGTTGAAGATCTCAAAGGAACTGGATTTTCCTGCTGGTGTTGGCCACAGGACAAAGCAAACAGGTTATCTATGCCTAAGCTGCTTCAGACAGTCTAAAAAGCGACAAGTCCTGGATCAAATCAGTACCTACAAACACAGCAAGGCTCAGAATATTACCAGCCTGGCGCTGGGAATACACCACCCAGGTGGAGACTCATCTGCTCACTTCACTGCCTTGTGTGCCAAGGGAGCTGGGTGCACCTGAACAATTCCTCTCAACTCTTCCTACTTTTGAGGAAACCTGGATCAGAGGCCAATTATCCAAGCCAGGAGGGTGGAGATAATTTTCCAGAAGCCAAGAACCATGCATCTTGCTCCACCAGTCCTCAGGGTTGCTCTCTGCTTGGCTGCATCACCGTGGATGTCAGTGGTCCCAGCCTGGAAACCAGGCTCTGAGTTCTGAGGCAAAGCAGCTTCTTCTGGGGGGTGGGTGGAGATTTCTATTGGCATTAATTCACTTCTTGTTTCTTCCTTTACTCTTGGACAAGAGCCAGGCAGTTTATTGTGCTCTTCTCTAGAGAACCCATATTTCTGGAGCTGACAAGCATCCTTGCCAGCTGTCTGGCTTGCCTCAGGTGGCCCCTGCTGCCAGCCCAGCTCACTCTGCAGTCTGTATCTAGGACTGCATCTGCCAGGTCTGCACCAAGGAGAGGGAGATCTCCTGGTTTTTAGAGTAATCCTCTTGGCACACAGCTGCATTCTTAAGCTTTCCAGCATCAAACCTCACACAGACACAGGAGCATCATGTCCGAAGTGTTCCTGTAGTGCTGAACTGCAGCATTCCAGCTCTCCAAGCTCATAGTGAGCCCTCTGCTCTTCTCTCTGGTAAAGAGACAGAGCAACTAACTCTAGTCCAGAGACATGGGAGGTAGCATTCCCATACGGATAGAAAATCAGATGACCAGTTGAGTGCAAGTCTAAAGCACCCTTTCCCCAATTCATGTCCAGAGAACTCTTGGCAGAGCTTGGGACATGCACCTCCAACGTCACCCTTCCCAAATGCTGTTTGGGAAAGATTTGCTTCAATTCCTACCTGTGCTTTTACAGCACTATTCAAACTATGCCACGTTCAAAATGAGACAGTAGAAAGAGAAGATCCCTCATGCAGAAAGAGGGACTGCCTCACTGGGAACATTGAGAATAGGGGTACTGCGGGGGCTCTGTGCTGCTGCCCACTGCAGGGAGGCAGTGGCCCCAGGAGCAGCCAGACCCAAAAGCATGGCTGGGGCAAAACTTCATTCTCTGCCCTTTGCTTGAGGAGTGTTGTACCAGAAGCATGTTCCCTCCCAGTGTACCCCACTTGCCTGACAAGAGCACCAGTGTGTGGGATGGTGACCCCTGTAGGGAGCCCCCAGGTCCCGCTGAACACCCCAAGGTCCTGCTGCACAGGCGCAGCCTGCTGGCTGGGATCCACCATCACTGGGTGGCCCCAGAGGGAGGCCCAGGGAGCCCAGGTGGATCCACAAAGCCTCCACCAAAGCATTTCAATTCTGTCCCTCCAGTGTATCTGAACCTCCTGCTTTTTTGCCCTAGAGGCATGCAAACCACAGAATTAGTTCCTACTGAGGCATCCTTCCCATCCCTGGCACTAAGATATCCACAATGGCCACAAAAATTGTACTGGAACAGTCACACAGATTGTACAAAAACCTTCCCAAATCCTGCATTTGTACCTCCATCTCAAGGGCAGCATGTTCTGTTTAACAGCTGCCAGAGAAGATGCCCCAATCAAATTTAGAGCATGCGAAGAACTGCTGGTGGATGAGTACCCCACACCAACAAGAGAACAGGAAAATGTTTCCTATCAAAAATCATCTTAATGGGTGCTTATAAAGTAGTTTATTCCATGCAGCACAATAGCTGTCAACCAAGACGGCTGTTGTGAGGGTTCATCAGTCTGATGAAGAGTAAGGCAGTAAATGCTTAATTCCCAACATAGTGTAATCCAAAAACTAAGAGCAGCAGACAGTCAAGTCTTGCTTTAACACACTGAGGCAATTAAGGCAGAATATTATATGCCAGCAGAATATGCTTCCAACTCTGTTTTGAGGTGAACTTCAATCAGCTGCACAGACCAAAAGACATGGTGCTGCACCCGGTGGAGAACAGAAAAGTGTACTCACCCATCAATTATTAGCTGGTCATAGGGTGCTGGTTTGTCACACACAGGGCACATCCACGTGGGCTTCTTCTCATTCATCTGTAGGTAGAAGACTGCGTCAAAGCACTGCAGATGTGCACAGGTCTCTGCCCGGCACGGCACAGACAGCCGCATCTTCACCAGCTGTTGGAGCAAAGAGCAGGAGATCAGCAACGAAACCCACCCAAGCCATCACCAGACAGTTCTCAGTATCAAGCAAAAAGGGTTCATTAGTTTGCAAAGCTGGTCTGGCAACAGAAAGGGGTTTCTTGACAAAACCAGACTAAAACATATTGCAAAGACTCACCGGGCAGATCAGTGAGACACGAACACCTGTAGTGGCAATTTCGCTGTCTGGGTCCAAGCGTAGCTTCTCTTTTACTGCAGGAAGAGGGCACAGAATTTAACAGATGCAAACTTAAAACCTTGGAAACAACGTGTAGCACAGGTTGAGCAGCTCACCAACAGCCCTTGGCTGTGCAGGAGTCATTTTCCCTATGGACGACAACCTCAGGGAAAAGAGACATGGGAGACAGAGAGCTGTTGTGTTGGACCAGGCTTGTGCAACCTGCAGAGCTCAGCAGAGACACTGCTTGGCTAGCTGAAAACCTTGTGTGTGATGAGGCAGGTCATGCACAGGTCATGAAGCACTTCTGGGTCAGCCAGGAAGTTGACATTTTCCTGGAGACTCTCTTATCCCAATAACCCAGCTCTCCCAGCACACGCTGCCTCTCATCCAGGCAGAGCAAATGAAGGAGACTGAGTGGCGCTGGGATGAGGGCACAGGCTGCATACTGTCTGCTGGCTGCATAGTTAATGCCCTCTTAGCAACCCTTCCACCTCTTACTTACAAACTCCAGGCTGGGTACACAGAGGAAAGCATGCTGCTGAGCAGCTGAGCACCTTTTTCATGTATATTATACCAAGGCAGCCAACTGGGAGTTAACTTTGATCCCCTTTGGAGGAAACTGAGACACCCACATACCTGGACTTCCCACAGGGAGGAGAAAGAGTAGACAGAGCTCTAGCACATGGCAAGACTTCTGGAAGGAAGTCACTTTAGGTTTATCTGGGCATTAGCATAAGCATGATGGATTTTATTCCCTTCTGAGATCAGTGGCAGTAGGACAGGGTTAACTGCCTGCCCCAGCCCCCTGGAATTCAGAGAAAACCCACCCGGAAGTGAGCAAACATGAATACAGTAAAATCATGGAATCCCAGCCTGGTTTGGGTTGGAAGGGACCTGGAAGGAAGTCACTTTAGGTTTATCTGGGCATTAGCATAAGCATGATGGATTTTATTCCCTTCTGAGATCAGTGGCAGTAGGACAGGGTTAACTGCCTGCCCCAGCCCCCTGGAATTCAGAGAAAACCCACCCGGAAGTGAGCAAACATGAATACAGTAAAATCATGGAATCCCAGCCTGGTTTGGGTTGGAAGGGACCTTAAAGCTCATCCAGTTCAATCCCGTGCCACGGGTAGGGACACCTTCCACTAGGGCAGGTTGCTCCAAGCCCCTGTGTCCAACCTGGCCTTGAACACTGCCAGGGATGGGGCAGCCACAACTTCTCTGGGCACCCTGTGCAGCGGCCTCATAGTGAAGAATTTCTTCCTAATATCTAATCTAAATCTCTCCTCTCTAAGTTTTTAAGCCTTGACAGAAAACCACATCCCATCATTTCCCCATCAAATAACCAAGCCTCCTCTTAGCACTACCAGGCTGTAACTCTTCAGCTCACACACTGGCCAGCTCATTTACTCCAGGAGACTGTTTCACAGGAACCACAAACAGACCCAGAGGTATCAGGGCAGAGAGCTCAAAGAGCAAGGCAGCCATGCAAAACCAGTCACAAGCACTGAGCCAGCCTATGTTTGGAAAGAATCAGATGTTAGGAAAGGAGGTGGAGAGATTCCTGCCCCCACTGCTGCATCCTGAAAGGAAAACCCAGAGGAGCTGCAGGCAAATCAAGAAGAGCAGCAGACGTGCAGGTCCCGCATCACGGTGAGGAATCAACACAGAAAATTAGCTTTAAACTACTGCACAAGTCCTGAAGAGCAGCTGCTGCTGCCACTCCTTCTGAGAGGGCCTCTGACACTTCAATCACCATTTTTCTTTGGAGCAAGTCAACCATTTCTTTTGACCTTTTCAGATCATAACAAGATGTCTCCAGACAATGAGGCTACACGCAGCTCTGCTACACGCAGCTCTAATTAGAGAGTGACTTCTCAGATGTGAGATTCCCACGAGATTACAAGATTTGGTGGGGTTTTCTTCACATTAGGAGACTTTTCATCCAAGCTTTATTTTTCGTCAAGATCTTTGTGAGAGCATTCTCTGAGCATCAATTACTATGATACATGGGAAGGAGAAATGGGATTTTCTAGGACTTCCTGAGCAGAATCAAGCTGGCTTAAGACTGCTTTGGGATCCACAGCCATGGACTTAACATCTCTGCTGTCAGACAATGTTTCCTCTATACTGAAGTCGACGGAAGCATATGCAGGAGAAGCTGACCCCTGAGATACAACAGAAGTCAGAGGGCAGCTTTAGTGAGTACCGAGGGCTATTGCAAGGAACATGATACAGAATCATTTGCAGAACAGACCTGAGCTATAAAAGCAAAGTTTACAGCTACTTGTTCTTGCCAGTTTCAGATGTCCAAACAACTGCCAAGCAGTAACAGGCCAAAGGAACTGAAACAAGATGTTTCTATCTGGTCAGCAAATGCAACTTGTCTCTGCCCCACAGTCCAGCCAAAGCTGCTAATTACCTAACGCAGCAGGACTAGAGGCACATGCTTGTTACTGAGTGTAAAGCTGCTTTCAGGCCTCTGTCTGCCACACTCAGAGAGGCCATCCTGCAAGTGCTCACTTTAAAGGGAACAGCATATAGTACTGAGCCTGGTTTCAAGAAGTGTCAGAGGAAAATGAGAGGATCTTCTGCAGTTTAGAACAACTCAAAAGCCAGCCTCCGCTCAGTGCATTGAGGGTTTTGGTGAAGAGCAAAAAAGGGAGTCCAGTCAGTGCCCTGGGCTTTGGAGGATGGTGGGTATTTAACACATGGAAATGCTCATTTCTTACATCCTGAGTGCTGGCTGTCAGAGTGGTTGAACATGATCAAAACTGCCACAGACACTGTTTGGTGTGGCATATGGGTATAGAAGCATTCAGCATCTGCTGCAGAAATGCTGCACTTCACATGAAGATCGAAAGCCTGGCTGAAGCAGCAGTGTGTGCCACAACATGAGGTAGGTGGCTGAAGACTGGACATGCCCAAAATCATCTCCTGCCCAATGATCTAATGTCTATCTTCAAGATTATGTTTCTTATTCTCAGTAAGAGTTGTGCATGATCTGAATAGCATGTTTCAAAGACCACCATGACCAGAACTAAATACTAAAAGCGCTCTCACCAGTGCCATGAAGTAACTGGAATTCCTCCAACTCTCATGAGCTGCAAGTCAGATTCTACCTTAGAATTTCTACCTCATTTTATTTGTGTTTTGTATTTGCCTCATACCATGATGATTTACCTGGGTGGTTTAGGATAAATATCTCAGGATCATCTCTTCTCTGAAGCTCTCAAGGCATAGGAGAAGTGCTGGTGGTGAAATCCCACTCCCAGCCCCCAGGATTCACAGGGACTTGGGGCAGCAGAACATTTTCGCCAGGATCCCTCGCTCCAGAAACCTCCTTTGGAAATAGTGTGGGTCAAGGCTGAGGCGCTGTGGTAGCATTTGGCAGCTCGTAACTACTCAGGTGAAGGCATGAAGCCGTTTGTGTCACGATGACACAGGCTCTCAGCAGCACTTAGTACGAACGACCTGGGGACAAATTCTAAATCCAGCTCCAGTGATTCAGAGCTTCTGCAGAGCCATGAGCTGCAGGAGCACTGTGCTCACACACAGCTCTGGGGTGATTTCATGTGACTGACATACAGCTTAGCAAGCTGCTCAACTCAAAAAGTGTTTTAGACAACTGGAGGAAAGAAATTGTAGAAAACTTGGCAGCTGTTCCCAAGCAGGTTTCTAGCAGGTTTCCTGGCTGTCAGGAGTGCTGCAGTGTGACAGGCAGCCAGCTGAGCCCTCATGCCACCTCAGAGGGGTCATACTCACCAAGGGCTTTGCAGAGTTCCGGGTGTTTGATCCCAATGGTTTTCAACCTCTGCAGCAGCTCTGCTGAGGTCATCTGCCGCACCAAGTACAGCCCCACGGAATAGCTCTAATGAGACAGGGAGAGAAAGAGTGAGTGAGGCTGCTCTCCTGTACTGGGTTGGAAGTTCTGTGCCACCCCCTTCCACACGTACCTTCCCGTAATTCCCCCAGGTAACAGTGATACGATTGGTGGCTGCAGACAAGTACATGAGATGGGTGAGGTTGATGGGACGACAGGGCCTTTTAGGTTCCACTCCAGGCTTGTTTGATGGATAGTAGCCCTAAGGCAGAGAGATTAAACATATACATAGACACGCTTTTTTTTAAACTCAAGATGCTTCTATATGGGTCCATCTCTTCACCAGCATCACTAAATTCTACTCACCAACACTTTTCAAGGATGGGGGTAGAAGGGAACTGAACAATCAGACCAAGCACAAAGCAAAAGGGATCAAGTCTTTTTGCAAGAACAATTTATTAGCAACACAGCTAATTCATGAGAAAATTAGCTTTAAACTAAGCAATGCACTTTTATACTCTGGCTTCTTGTCTGCATTCATCAGTAAAGCAATTTCCTTCTAAATGACATGAGTCTTTCCACAGATGCAGTGTCACAGCTCCCGGCTGAGCTGACTTACCGGCACGGAGCAGTAGCTGTGGTTCACTTTCACGGCGATGTTCGGGGGGTACTGATCCTCCTGAGGAGAACTAGTGTCTGTGTAACAGATTCTGGAAAGAAACAACACGTCTCTCAATATCCCCACACTGTGCATGTTCAAAGCCCTCTGCACATCACCAACCAACCCATGCTCCCTCATCTGGCCAAAGCAAAGCCAATTCCATTCAGCTCTCCCAGACCAGATGCAAGCTTCATACCCGGGCAGCAAACCCCTAGACACTGCTGGTTTCTACCACAGCACTGACTCAAACAGTATACGCAGGATGAGGTTAGAAAGGAGAGTTTAAGAAGCTTGTGTTAGGCATGTGAACAAGCAACTTATTGCAAGTTATCTTTGTAGCTACTAAAGCCACACTGAAAGTTCCTGTCTTTTGGCAGTGCATTCCCTCCCCCCTGGTCTGCATCTGATGTTAAATCAGCCCCATGCTCAGACATACCTTAGGACAACCTGAACTGATTTCACACCAGGTTGCAACTCCCTAGTAAATTAGAGAAGAAACAGAAACTTCAGATTCGTTATGTAAAGAAACAAAAGCCCCCAAAATAAAACAACACCCACAAAAAACCAGAACAACCAAACTCAGCTATCACTTCTGCCAGACTTAAGAGTTTTAGGCTGTTGGGGTTTCTTTATAGACCTTTAAAGAATTACTTTACAGAATTTCATTTAAATAGGACAATTCCCCTGCAAATAGCAGTGGTCCTGTAAGGATTTCCCCC